TCTGAGCAGCTCCCAAATCCTTCATCTCAAACTCAGCACTGAGAAGCCCCTTTAACTTCTGGATATCAGACTTTGACCTCGCAAATATGAGCATATCATCCACATACAGAACTAGATATATCATCGAACCATCCTCTGCCTTGCTGTGATATACACAACAATCATATGGACTTCTGCTATAGCCCAGCTCAAGCATGTAACTGTCAAATCTCTTGTACCACTGCCTCGGAGATTGCTTAAGTCCATACAAGGACTTCTTCAGCTTACAAACATAGTCTTCTTTTCCAAGAACCTCGAATCCTTCTGGCTGAGTCATGTAAATTTCTTCTTCCAACTCTCCATGCAGGAAAGCTGTCTTCACGTCTAGCTGCTCGAGCTCCAAGTCATAATGTGCCACTATTGCTAGTAGCACTCTTATCGAAGTATGTCTGACCACTGGTGAGAAAATCTCATTGTAGTCAACTCCTTCCCTCTGCGAGAAGCCTCGTGCAACCACCCGAGCTTTAAATTTCATGCCCTCTTTAGAAGTGATTCCTTCCTTCTTCTTGTAGATCCACTTGTTTGTAACAATCTTCCTTCCCTGTGGTCGTTTGACTAGCTCCCAAGTCTGATTCCTGTCATGGGATTCCATCTCATCTCCATTGCGGCAAGCCACTGATCAGCTTCACCACCCGAAACTGCTTCTCTATAGGACTGTGGCTCTCCTGCATCCACTTCCTCAGCAACCTGAAATGAATACGCCACCATGTGCTTGAAGCCATACCTCTGTGGAGGTACTCCTGCAGTCGCTCTCTTCGGTCTACCGGAAGCAATAGACTGTTTAGCTCGTGCACTGGACTCTGAAGTTTCTGGCTCTACAGAGACATCCTCATCATGTTGATCTTCTCCACCTTGGTGCTCAAACTCAATCTCATTGAGAGTTTGCAGCTCCACCTGTTTATCAACATTCCAGCTACCTTCAACAACAGTAACCTTCAACATGGGGTTAACATAGACTTCTCATCAAATATCACATTTCTACTGAGTATAACCCGATGCTCAGAAGGTGACCAGACTCGAAATCCCTTAACTCCATCTCCATAACCCACAAATACACCCTTCTTTGCCCTTGGGTTTAGTTTACCCTCATCCACATGATAATAAACAGGACACCCAAAGATTTTCAGTGAAGAGTAATCAGCAGGCTTACCATACCACACTTCATAAGGAGTCTTCAACTCGATACCTGTGTGAGGTCCACAGTTGATCAGGAAGCACGCCATGTTCACTGCTTCTGCCCAGAATCTTCTCTCTAGTCCAGCATTAGAGAGCATGCACCGTGCTCTCTCCAACAATGTCTGGTTCATCCTTTCTGCAACGCCATTCTGCTGGGGTGTATCTCTAACAGTCCGATGACAGACAATCCCTTCATCCTTGCAGAATTCGTTGAACTCAGAACTGCAAAACTCCAGACCATTGTCCGTTCGCAGCTTCTTGATCTTCTTACCGGTCTGATTCTCCACCAATGTCTTCCATTGCTTGAACTTCGTGAAAGCCTCACTTTTCTGCTTCATCATGAAAATCCAAATAAATCTCGAATAATCATCAATAATAGACAGAAAATACCTGCTGCCTCCAATGGATTCAACTCGTGAAGGACGCCAACAGTCGGAGTGGAGGTAATCCAGTATCCCCTTCGTCTGGTGGATACCCTTCTTGGGAAACTTGCTGCGATGTAGCTTCCCAAACACACAATGCTCACAGAATTCCAAATTCTGCACCTTGTGCCCGCAAAGAAGATCCCTCTTCGATAGAACTTGCATCCCTCGTTCACTCATATGCCCCAGTCTCATGTGCCAGAGAGTGGTCATATCTTCCTGTTGAACCTGAGACGATGCAACTGCAGCAGAACCAGACAACACAGACCCTTGTAATGCATACAAGGTCCCACGCTTCACGCCCTTCAGCACCTTCCTTGAACCTTTGCAGACATACACAACTCCACCTTTTCCTTTGAAGCTGAAACCCTTGCTGTCGAGTAGACTCAAGGAGATCAGGTTCTTCGTCATTTGTGGAACATGCCTGACATCATTCACGGTACAGAACGAACCATCATGTGTCTGAACCTTTATGGACCCGATTCCAACAACCTTGCAGACAGCTCCATTAGCCATGACCACGTTACCACCATCTATCTGCTCGTAGGTTGTGAAGCAATCCCTGTTCGGAGACATATGGTATGAGGCTGCAGTATCCAGAAACCACACATCACCGCGATGCGCCTTCTCATCTACAGCCAAGGCGAGATCGTCTTCAGAACTGTTGTCCACTTCTGCCACGGCAACTGAACCATGTTTCTTCTGTTGCCCTCTTCTCTTGGGACAGTTGTACTTCCAATGCCCCACTTCCTTACAGTTGTGACAAGCATCACCTGGCTGTAGACCGGGACCCTTGGAATTCTTGTTCGAATTCCCTTTACCAGATTTATTCTTTCCCTTTCCACCTGTAACAGCCAAACCCGATGCCTCACCAACTGTACCAGATCCAGACGCCTTATGCCTGATCTCTCTCGTATGAAGAGCAGACCTGACATCCTTCAACGACACGCTTTCTTTACCAGCAATAAAATAATCAACGAAATTCTCATATGAACTCGGCAAAGAAACCAGTAGGATTAGGGGAGCATCCTCGTCATCAACTTGAACATCTATATTACGCAGATCCAGAAAATAGAGTTAAGCTGTTCGAGATGTTCCCTCAAAGGCGTACCTTCTTGCATCCTCAAGCTGAACAACCGTTGCTTGAGATGCAGCTTGTTGGTTAGAGACCTCGTCATATACAGACTCTCCAGTTTCAACCACAAGCCCGCGGCAGTCTTCTTAGCAGCGACTTCAATGATGACATCATCAGACAACGATAGCATGATGGTCGAGTGGGCCTTCTCCTCCAGGGTATTCCACTCATCGTCATCGACTGCTGCCTTCTTCTGTTTCGCAGACAGCGGCCCCCACAGCCCTTGCTGTTTCAATAAAGCCTGCATCTTGATCTGCCATATAGCAAAGCTGTTCTTCCCCGTGAACTTTTCGATCTTCATGTTCACCGACGTCATTCTTCTGAATCGAAAACCCTAGCCTGATTTCCAGCCGCGGCTCTGATACCACTTGTTATAAACGCGCTGCTACAGATCGGGAAATCACCGGAATCGACAAAGCAAGAATACGAAAGCGAGAATCGAAAACACGACACACGATTTACGTGGTTCACTAACACGATGTGAGTTAGCTACGTCCACGGGCGAGAGAGAGCCGTTTCACTATATTGAGGAGATTACAGATTACAGAGGAGTATGAGAAGTATTTATAGTACTTCTCCATGTGGGTCTAAACCTAATCCAATCTAGCAAAGGAAACGGTTACAGACCAGGCCCAGAACCCGAACCCAAATAACATTGAGCCTATACACCGTGGGCCGGGGGCGTTGCCCCCGCACCCCCACCGATTACCAGTCGTAGCGGCTGATAGTCTGATTCAAGTCATATCAACGAATCTCCACCTTGACTTGAATCCTCTTCCTCTGAAATCTCTGATGTACTCTGCTCCTTCTCTCTCTCCCGCCATCAATGCCCCGTAGGGCGGAGTCACCCACTCAAGACATTCAGCAAGTCCAAGCAGTGTTGGAACCTGCCATGTGGAACCGGCTTCGTGAACATATCAGCAGGATTATCCGCAGCGAGACCCCCGATTACCAGTCGTAGCGGCTGATAGTCCGATTCAAGTCATATCAACAGTATGAATGAAGAATGAGAGTTAACCGTGACCCAACCGTGTGGGACTGGTATCCACTCCACCTACCATTCTTGACGTGACCACAATGTCCTAGTTATATATGACTTTTTGCGGTAATAGTGTCTATGGAGATTCTACTTCATGTTGTGGTCCTTTGAATGATCTTATTGGGAGTTCCACTACCCCTGAAAAAGATGTTGTCATATTCCGTACTATCTAAAGAAACTAGTAGGCTACCTCGAATTTGACCTATAGGGAAGGTTTTGAAATATGATGGGTGAACCGATCGAAAAATGGTACATGAAAAACTTTTATGTGATCGACGCGTCGGAAGACTCCATTCCAAACATCTTGGTTGTACTTGCATAACCATAGCACATGTTCTAAGGTCTCTGGCATGTCTTAGGTAGGCAGACAAAGATTCCACACCAAGTGTCGCAAATGAACGCCAAGAAGTTAGGCAAGGCCACGACACAAATAGGGAGAGCTCCTGAGCCATCATAGTATTGTCAATACAACACCCGAATCCGGCCGGGTACTACTTTTACTAAAATGCCATTGATAAATAAAAATGCTCAAATCTTAAATTGCAGTGGGAAAAATTTTCATAAATAAAATACTGAAAACACACACTTGTAGTTCAGAGCAAAGTCCTAACACGTGGGCAAATTAAACTCAAACTTTAAATTTCAATCTGATCTCCAGTCTATACTCGTAATCATAAAATGTAAATAACTAGGTAGTCCTCCGTGACGCTTGCACTGCCCTCCTTAGCTGGTTGCTCTCGAACTCGGTGCTCTCTAACTGCTCCTCTAGCTAGCTGCTACCGATCTGGTTCTCGCTCATTCCCTTACTAAGGCCTGGTGTGTGAGTTGGGGTCAGTGTACGCCCTTACGTTTAGCATTTTATTAATACTTGATCACTTTACTTAACTGAGTGGAAGTTGTTTTGTACTTCCACTATTAAAAAACTTAACTCTTAAAACTGTATGGGAGTTACTGTTACTCCCCATTCTTAAAGCTCAAATCTTGACTTAAATACTTGACTGACACGGGGATCCCTCACTAGCTAGTCCGGTTGCCAACTCATACGTATGAGAAGCCATTCAGGCTTTCCTTAAACTTAAACTTAGGCCCCGTTTAGTATCATTTTATTGTTGTTGTGATTGCATTGGTGTTTTGGCAACAGACCTACAACAAAACAGAAAAAAAATATAAAACAAAAACATGTTTAGTTGGTAAATCTGAAAAATCATAGAAATTGACAACAAGAAACAAAAACGCGTTTAGTTGGCAAATCTAACATAACAACTACACCTATATTTGCAACTTTCAATTTAACTGCTACTACTATCTATACATCCAATGGCAATCAGATCACTCTTCAAATTTTCATTAAAAAGCAAGAAACTACAAGTTCCTCCTTATCAAGCTAGCCCCGACATCAACCTCTCTTCCCATGTATGCATCATCTTCTTTTGCTGCCTTCTCCACTGCTTCGTCCCATGAGCTTCTGTAGAACAATTGTGAGACCACCAACAGATTGTCCTGCATCAGAAAAAGATACCAGCATCCCTCGCCTTGCACTTGGGTCCAATTTGAGACGATGATGTTGGCTGCTCAATATGAGATTCACAAAAAAAATTCACCACCCAATAACTTATTCACAAACAATCGAACAATCGATTCACATATGGATCATTCATCACCAATCAATGGCATATTCAAAAGAGAAAAAAAACCCCCCCGAAGGATTGACCAAGCTCCAACAGAGGAGATGCTGGTCGGTAAGGAAATCAGGATCGTGTCCGTCGACACGGGCGTTGGGGGACTTCTCGGCAGAGAAATAGTCTGGGTGTGCGAGGGCTTGAAGCGGGGAGATTTTGAAGGCGGGCGAGAGCTTGACGGCACGGGGAGGAGGAAGAAGATGGTGGTGGCGACTGGCCGGAGGGAGCAGGCCATCCCCGTGAGAGGAAGAAGAAGATGCTGGTGCGGCGGAGAGGAGGTAGTCGATGGCTGCAACTCCTGTGTTTGTTCGTCTTCGCGAGAGGACGGGGGAGATGAAAGAAGGATTGGGAGAGTTGCGGCGGGCCTGTCTAATCGTGGAGTAGGGTTTGGGGGTTGGAAAAAAAAAATTGGTAGGAGGTAGGATTCCAACATTGGGCTGTTTTAATGAAATCAGATGTGCAGCCCGTGGGAAACCCGTGGGAAACATATATAAAAAACAGATCCAAAGCAATAAATTGTTGTTTCTCTAATTTTTGTCTGGTTGTGTAAATCTGTTTCACAACAAAAATAAAAAACCCAACTAAACATGTTTTTTTCTCTTGGTTTTCACAATTTCTCAGAACACAACAGGAAACAAAAACAAGCAACAATACTAAACGGGGCCTTAGTTAGGGAAGTCGTAACGATTCATCCCCCTAACATCTTAAGCTTATCGTGGTGGCTCTTCACCACGATTCTCAAGGCCAGGGCATAACTGCTGTCCATCTTAAAACTCTCAAGAGCATAACTGCTGCTCTATCTCGAAATGTCTCAAAAGGCAACGGACTGGCGCTAGTGACTAAAAACACTTAAAACGACTTCACCTTCTTGAAGGTGAGTTACTTCTTAAAAAGAACTTGCTTCTTAACTTTAACCATAACTTATAAACTTAGAGCTTTAATTTAAATAAGAACTCATGCACATTCACATCAAACATAGCTCAAACAAAATCACATATCATCAACCATAAGCACAATCAAACAACGACAATCACTTCATCAAAATACTTAAGGCTTGTAATTCTTGAAAGAACACGTAAGGCGTATAATTTACCCCCTTTACACTCACCTCAAATCCGTCGAAAACGACTCTGAATCCGCTCTAAAAATTCCATGAATCATTTCCACTAAATTCTCCTCGTTCCCACGATTCCATAAGCGTCGACGGTTCCTCGATCGGACGTCGATTGATCGAGTTATGTCCAAATAAACATTCTGTCAGTTTAAAAGTACCAGGTACCGAAACTAAAATTTTCCAGTCAATATAGTTGACCACGGTCTATCTGAAAAATTACGGATTTAATCCTCAAACTTATCGAATTGACAAGATTAGTACCTGAACTATCTGATTTGTATCCCAAAATTTCGAGGCTCGTATCTCCCTCGTCCAACGTCGAAATTCGATTCCGTCAAAACCGGGGTGTTCCTGAGATCGTCCACTACGCGGTGATACCCACCACTCAAAGAATGGTCGAATTCAGCTACGCCGGGATCGTCATCAGGACTACGATCGTCGGGAGAAGATGCAAACGTCGATGATGGCTACGATGGCGAGGCGAGGCTGCTGCGGTTGTGTTCGTCCAGCGGGAGGATAGGCGACCAGTGCGTTGCTGTTGCCTCTCATCCGCCGCTAACTGCTACTTTCGTCCGCAGCTTGCTGCTGCTCGCTGATCTGGCCGCGCGAAGGAGAGAGGAGGCGGTTGCTGCTCAGAATGATGCTTGATTTGGCTCTGCTTTCTTCAATAAAGATACCAAACAGTCCCAAGCCACAGAAACCGTACTCTCCATTCAAACATGACAGCATCCGGAGAGCCCCAGCACGGTGGATTTCTGATACCAGAAAAGGAAGAATGTTAGTCACACCATTAGCTGCTCGTTTGGGGGAGGGAGGATTTTGATTGGCGTGTTCCTTCTTTATTTCCCTTCCGCTGCCGAGGTTAATAATTGAGGGGTGGGGAATAATTGAGGGCCGCTCGGCCTAGGGTTTATATATATAATAATTTTTTTATAGTAATAATAATAATAATAGTTATTATTATTATCCTAATCCGCGGTTGTAACTCCTAGTACTTAATCGTCAATCCAACCGATCACGTATTATGGTCGAAACTGAACCCAAAGGTCGGGGTGTAACAGTCAACAATTCTCCTACATTTAATGAAAAAAGATTGGTCAGGGACGATTACAATTCTCCTACATTTAATGAAAAAAGATTGGTCAGGGAGACAGGGACGATTACAGTCATATTTCTTATTCTTTCAACAACAATAGCAGTAGATTCCTTTGCCTATTCTATTCTCTCTTTTCAAGTCCCAAAGCTTCTTGTCACTGGTGGTTCGGATCTATGATTGTAAGCTGCCTCCTGTCACTCCATGTTTGTAAGAAGACGTACGTCCATGTCATATCAACAATAAGAATTGTTTTTGCGGCTTGGCCCATGCCATCGCTAGACCCACCTCCAAGCCTGCAGCTTTGATGCTTCTCCTACGTCGAATGTGATCGTGTACGCTAAGCGGATGACAAAGAGGTCGTTCGACTCCACCACCACGCAATGTCATCTCCCCTAGCTTAGCTCAAGGTGGTGGTGTTCTCATTACCTGCATAAACAAATTCTTAAGCATATAGCGTGAAATAACAGCCAAATCTCTCTCACCAGAGTCTAGCACAAACGCCATAACGGGCTTTTCCTCAAGTGAATCTAGGAGCTGCCCTAAAACCAAGTCTTTGAGGCGCATTCCCATGTCCAAGAAAATTTCATCCCAAAATCTCAAGGATTGACCATTCTGTACCAATCAATGAACTACCTTCAACATTTAATGCCAGACGCCACGGAACCCACACCATAGAGTGGAAATGTCAGTTTTTCGTTGTTGAGAGAAGCTTGTATTATTGGACCAGAGGTATTTCTCCAACAACAACTTCACCTAGAAGACATCCGCAGTGCTTCAGGATACTCCATGCCAGCTTCATCATGTAGGCAATATTGGGATCTCTCGCACGCCACGAACCCAACTCCCCCATCTTCTTCGGTTTGCACACAACATCCCTGGCCACAAAATTTATCTTTAGAGAACCATCACTACAACAATTTTGGGATGTCTTGACGAAATTTTAATTTGTCATTTTAGGTTTGTCACAATAGAACCTATAATATGACAGAACTAAAATTTGTCATATTAGTTGTGTTTTTGTGACAAAGAAGCATTTTGTCATACTAATTTGTCATAATAGACCCATATTGTGACAAAGTTATATGATGTCATAATATTTTGTCATATTACATATTTATTGTGACAAATAGTGTATGTCATTATAAGTTTGTCACAATATTGTTCTCGTACTTTATTTCAAGTAACATAATTTTGGTAATGTGACAAAGTTTGATTAGTCAAAACAGGGGTGCTTTTATTCTTTTCCATTTTATGTTCAGATAATGAAAGTGAGAGAGAGAGAGAGAGAGAGAGAGAGAGAGAGAGAGAGAGAGAGAGAGAGAGAGAGAGAGAGAGAGAGAGGACATAGGGCGCGGGACCTAATTCCCTCCAGCGCTCCAAAACCATATCCACTCCCAAATTTCGCCGCTCAAAAAACCCTCTGTCAATTGGTCTGTCTTCGCAGTCGCATCGAATCCTGTCAGCAACCAAACAAATGCCCATGTTTTCCTGTCAATCTCTTCACATACAGACACAAGGAGCATAATAGTTTGCATAACATAAGAGGGGATAACATTCAAAATTGAGAGTGCAAGAGTTACTTTTCCTGCTGATACAGGATAGATTTGGATAGCTCCCTTTTCTTGGCGGGAGTAGGCCAGTTTCTCCTTTCTTGGCGAGAATGGCCAGGGTTTTCTTAATTCTAAAATTGCTTGCCTTCCATTCCATTGGTTCCGAACTTAAATATACAAAAAGCTTGAAATGAAAAATGGTCTCTCTAGCTCCCACGCTATCTACCAGCTAACCAACTAACCATAACCCACTAAACCCACTCCACCTATTCTGCAAAAGCTCTTAAAGACTCAAACAAACATATAACTCTAACAAACTTGTTCACCCACTAATTAACACACTACTAACTAGAATAATCAATCACGAGCATATCCTACAACGACCCAATCAAATTGAACGATTTATGGGCTCATCATTACCACCCTCTGAAAAACGGCCTTGTCCTCAAGGCCGAGTTTAATGAAGAGATCATCAAAAATGGAGGCCAACTTGTCGATAGCAACGTTGATGAAATGCGTCCGTCCAAGACCCGATTCCATCCTTAAACCGTACCAGTCAGTTGGCTCTGATACCAACCCACCCATCACCTCCTTGTTTATCCCTTTTTAGCTCGTTCATATGCTCCTCAAACGGTGCCACTCGCCTACTCCCAACTTTGATCCACGACTGGCGTTTCCTCGACCGCTTCCATTTCCTTATCGAGACCCTCTCTGCGATCATCCTGCTGTAGGTTGAGAGCCCAAAATTTGGCTTCCTGGGATTGTCGATCAAGGAGACCATCGACCGCCTTGCCGGCTGGGGCAAGGAAGAGTCAAACTCCCTAGACTCGTTGTTGTCCTTCCCAGTGGTGGTGGTGGATTCAGCCATGTGCTTCCACTTGAAGCTCTTTTTGCAGATGCCTCCACCACAATAGTAGGAATTGATGGAGCAATTCATGACCTCCTTGTTTGTTGGCGAAACAAACTTCCCTGTATTGGCTTGACCCTTTTCCCTTCTCTTCCACCAATAGAGAAAGTCATAATCATCACCAAACAATTCCACAAATGCTTCATAGTTGACATGGGTTTTATGCGCAAGACTAATTAACAAGCCTCTCTTGTAGACAACTCGTTCCCCACCTTTTTCATCTCCATCTTCGCACTTCAACAATTGACCAACATCCATAGCAAAGAGATTTTCATAAAGAGTTGTGGAATTAAATTCTCTTCCACCCAGACCTCCCTTAATTCCTCCCCACAAATCACCCACGTCGTTCCTGATACGTGGAAACCATAGTAGAGAATTAAACTCTCTTACTACTACCATGGATCTACCCTTATGTACCTGATCGGACGTTGCTGTAATGGGTTTGGCGGTGTTCAGGCTCCTCCCAGGTGGCAAGCGTGCCTTAAACTGGATTTCTGGCGGTGTGGAATGTTTAGCGACATCGACAAGAGGCTGCTATTGTTTTGCGACGAGGGCGACAGGAGCAGTCGATGGAGGTGCCATGATCACTGATGGCGTGCTCTCAGCGACAGCATGTACCTTCTGGGTTGCTACGGGTATAATGGAGATCTCCTCCTCTTCAATGGCGGCTAGGGTCTCGACTTCCAGCGGCGATGGTGGTGTTGCTGACATG